TGTTATGCTTCGCATTGCAATTACTATGGTGACATTCATTCTACATGTGTGTGATATAATACTGGAAAGATCATGAGTTTTATGAATTCATGTTTCATCGTTGTCGGCATGATGATTGAATAATTTGTGCCTCTGTTCGTTGCTCGTAGTCCGACATTGCTCTTGGCGTATGATGATGGACAGTACAGCAACCATCATATTGGATAGCATCCATGTCAGGATCCTGCGGGTTAGCGGAGTTGTTTGAATCGCTCATCTCCAAGAGCCCATCTTCAAGCCTTGGAGAAAGCTGCAATGCTGAAGCATAGGGGCTCCGTGGAAGCTCATAAAATGATTGGCACGCCTTCAGAATATCTGCGTAGACTTCGTTGAATTCTTGATGTTGTTGTTGTTGTCGTTGTTGCTGACACACGTTACTCATTTTGAAAGATTTAGTTTATGTCTAACTCGGGATCTCGTTTGTGATAGTTCAAAACTGATGTCAAGAGATTTGTGACACCCTTCTTGTGTTGACAAGATTTTCAATGAAGCAACATAGAACATACAAATCGCGATTTAGCAGTTTGTGAGTGGCAACAATTCTTCTCCTTTCTGACGCATGTTTTTGGTGGCGTTATGGCACTTTGAAGAGCAGCAGATGTTACCATCTGCCAGTGTACGTTTAAATTTAATTAAGACATTGAAGCTTGCATCATTTCGTGTCATCAAAATTTGTCGTGAGATTCACAATTTTCAATTAACAGTTTTTATTGAGCGCCGATGATCAGAAATGCGTGTGAGAACTGAAACACGCGAAGCCCAAGTTGCCATTCTGACGCATGAATTTGCCGTCAAAACATCATGACGCACAAAAGCATGTGTTTTGATCCACGACGTCCATCTGCCGATACGTTAATGTGAGACCAACCTGCGATCCACCAAATCTTATTTCGCTTTTAGGCCAAGATGAGGCATCATACTGTTATTGCATGTCTTGTTCAATTATCTTCCTTGACATTAGGATTCTGCCCAAACTGCACACCGAGAAGGAAGGACCTACATTATGGTCTCTCACCTGACCTGTTATCCCTACAGCCTAGACTACCGACCGTGGTGAAGGTCCAAGCCAGAAGTGATGTTTCTTCTTCCACGAGCAAGAAGGAAGCATCATCACTAGCTAATCCTTCCGCTCGATCTGTGGCAGTGTTTTCATTGATGGATAGCCTTGGCAAGAAGAATCGTTCTTTTGCAGTTCAGCATTTGGAAAATGACCCAGACTACCAGCGTCTGGAAAA